CTACTGATGGTAACAGAAAGACGGTGGCTACGACCCCACGAACGATCTTATTAACTCCTTAACGAGGATGAAGAGCTCGCGGTGACCTTTGGGCGAAACCGAGAAACAGGGGGACGTAGCGGTGGATGAAGGTGTACGAGTAGCGAGACGTTATTTTAAGCGACGACGTGGCAGGAATAGGAAGTTCGACGGTCGAAAAATCAAGATTTCTTTCAACGTTCCTCCATTGCCATCTACACGTTCTTTGTCCCCCAACGCTCTCAGTAGATTCGATAAATTACACAATAACTTTTATTTTTATTAATTACAGAACACCTTTCGGTAAACGATGGTTTATCGCGAGCAGAGTTGGGCAGAATTTTATTCGAATAATACATAGTGAGATGCCTCAGTACCCAAGGAGTTTTGAGTTTTAAACAGTTAATGAGATTAAATGATTGTTTATCAAATGTCGATTAATTCAAGAGGATGTGTTATTTTATTATAAAAATGGAAATTTCCACGTTAAAAATGGCGAAGTACTTCTGCATCTTTAATTCGTTATTCGAAACTTTTCATCTAGACAATGAATTTGCCCATCTCTGATCGCGAGGGCACGATCAAACGGCGATTAATCTTCAGCCTTGTGTCGCGAGTGGACCGGGTGACTAATTAGCGTTGTAGTTGGAACGTGTCGCGGTCTTATTTCGTCGATGAAATGGAGACGTGATTAAATACAGTCGGAAGTTTATTTATTAATTAACCGACTCTGACCAGGCGTTTCTGCGAGTTAACGCCAACGGTTCGCTAACAAGTCGTGGGAAACCAGTCCGTTTTCCGAAAGTTGGATGGACAGACAGATGGACAGACAGATAGACAGACGGTTTTCGTTTCGGTGAAACGGGGGAGGATGGAACGAGCCGTCGAGTCCAGAGGGTTATTAATTGAACAGATTCCGGAAAGGCTCGGGCGACGCTTTACGATAACGACAATTATACTCGTCGAAATCCTCGGTCCTCCTTCGATTATCCAGCTACCACCCACTCTGCTTCTCGCGGCAATTATAACTTTCTAATTCGAAACTGATCCGGAGGGCCAGGATCGATCGATCACGGCGTTGGACCACAGTGGTTGCGTCCCTTGATCGAACGTCGCTGGTGAAAAAACCGAAATAATGCGTAAAATATAGGGCAAGGGGTTGATAAATAAGGTAACGACGTCTAGAAAGACTTGAAAAATTTCATCACCTCGAACAACATTCATTGCACGAACTTCCCAAACAATAGAACATTTACAATTAGAAATGAAAAAGGAATACGAATATTATCTTCCCTAATTTTAACGAAAAACACTGTTCACCTGTTTATTTAAACAGTTAGAACTTGTTCAATTTTCAACGACTAATTGGGTTCGAAGTAGACTAAAGAAAAACGTTCTGAAAAAATGAATCCGTTCACAGGGACAATTGAACATTTTCACGTCCATGTCCGTATTTATTTTTCATTTTTTCACGAGACGTGTCCAGCGAGTTACGTTGTTGATTACCTCTAAACTTACCGAACCCTTCGGTGAGATATGAATTAGAACGGCAAAACCGGTCGTTTGACCGGTCGTGGTAGGTTTATTCTTAATTACTTCCCGCAACGAGAGAGAAAGAGAAGTGAACGTTTAAGGAATAGCTTCGAGAAAAAGTTAATTACTCGCCCCTCCCCCAGTTGCAGCTCGTTGAATGCTCGAGCAAGAATGTCAGAGGAGCTCGTGGACCTTAAATCGTGGTTTGCGCCTGACAACCGGCGAATAGTTCGGTGAAGGTAGCAGACAGAGAGGAAGGGGTAGAGGGTTCACCGAACCTCGTAGATACTCCTTTTTCACCAGAGAATTGTATGACAGTAATCACATCTGAGATTGTCCCTTTGGCGAGACACGGCTGTCCCAAAGATACGACAGAAGACAATCTCGGAACGTGCAGAACGATCCAGATGAAATCTCACCTGGTTCGATGCCTCCCCCCACCCCCTTTTTTTTTTTTATCATCGCGTGAAATTGTAACAGAGATACCAGGAGAGGATTTTCTCTGTGTCATTTCGAATTACGACGAAAGAAACGGAATACGACGACGATGGTCTCGGTTTACCCTCCAGACTGATCCACGGGGAAAGAAATTGGCGTCGTCCGCGAGGAAACGAACCGCAAACCCCGTAATGGAGGAAACTCGAGAAGAACAAGAGATAGATTTCCATGGTTGGTACTATAAACGTCGAAAGACAGTCGAAGCAATAATAACGTGACCAACGGATTGGGTATTCCGTAGCGTATACAGGGGGTCTCGCCCGATTTTGATATCTTGATTTTCTCGCTATTGTTACTCGGTGTAAAAAATGTATCAGCGGAGGCTTGATTGGTATCGAGTGGAGCATATTCTGATGTTATTAGTTTTTTCGTGAGTGGACGCGTTAAGGTCATATAAAGGTCAACTTTGTTTGTTTAAATGGAATGAGGTATTTTTTAATACATCAATCAATAAAAAAAGTATTAACCTATGTATGTCGAAAAGTTAGTAGTTCAGGAGATATTTCAATTTAAATAATTCTAAAACACCATTACTGTCACATTTGACAGAGACTGTTATTTCTTTACAAGCTATCGAATCGTATATTACAAGTCCAAATCGTGCACTTTTGACCCCTTATCCTGCTATGCCCTTTACTATTTCTGCGCGTTCGTTTTTGCTGCAGCGTTTCCCACTGTTTTTACTTTGTACTTTCTTTCGTTTGATTCCAGCCACCGTTGCAGTTTAAAGATACCATTGCTCGCTGAAGAGTGCCAATTAGGTATTGTTATCGTTACTCAAGATGTTGTTTCGAACTCGACGATCCGTAGCAACGAACGCCTTGTTTAATCGAGACGCCCGTAACTAATTACGATTTCAATCGAGACTGCTGTTAACGAAGGCCTCGAGAATATTGTAATTAAGTTTTCCGTGGTCCTTTCTCGAACGAACACCCTTCGGATTATTCCGAATTCTATTATTCTCATGGTCAACGCACCGATCCTCGACGTATCTATTCCTAATCGAGGAAATAACTGTGATCATCTGAAATCAGGATCCCACGAATTTCAATGAAAATTTGGAGTCATCGAAGAAAATTTGGAATCTTTGAAGAAAATTTGAAATCTCCGACGAAAATTTGTGATCTTCAAGGATAATTTGGAATCTCCGAAGAAAATTTGGAATCTCCGAAGAGAATTCGAAATATTCAAGGAAAATTACTAATTTTCCTGGTTCCATAACCATTCTACAACCTAGCAGTTCCATCGAAACAAACGATTTCGGAATTGCTCAGAACGCGACAGTAAGGTAGGGATCGTTAATCTTTTTGGTCGAGAAAGAAGCCAATTTACAAGACCCTTCTGACAGATGCGCGAACACGCGGAAACGTGCGATCCTACTTGTTGAACTCGAGTCGCGATCACGCGACGCCGTCGTCAACCCTCCATTCACGAACGATTGACACGGATGGTTCGACGGGTTGGTGGAACCACGGGAGAACAGGAGGAAAACCGTAGTGTCGAAGTTGGCCATCGTGTCTCCCGTTAACTCGAGGTAATTAAGGAGAAATCGAACTCGAATTCCAAGGAGTTCGAACGCGAAGAACGAGACGAAGATCGAGTTGCAGTTCACGCTTGTTACTATCTGTGTAAATCTCTTGCACAATTGAAACCAACGTGAAGAATATATACTTTCGACACTCTTAATCGTCATTGTTCGGCCATTTTTTAAACGTTCGATAATTAAACAACGATATTAGATAGCATTCTAGGCATAGACGTGTAATGTTACAAAGATGTAACTTAAACTTTGCTGTCTTTGATCCTATTTACCGAATTTGTGAAATAGCGAATTCTTTCTTTAGGGATGTTAACTTTTTTATTGGCTCTATCCACAGTCTTTCAAATACAAAGTTGGTAGTGCCTTGTAATTACCATTTTGCTTTTCTCTTTGTAATTACCATTTTTCCTTCCTCTTTGTAATTACCATTTTGCTTTTCCCTTTGTAATTACCATTTTGTTTCTCCCTTTTGTATTTTCCAGTTGTATGTTTCATTTAATTTTCGTCCGATTTAGGTTTTATATAAACATGTTTACATTCTTTTTTCTCTTGCATTTTAATGCGAATTACCCCGTAAATAAATAAATAAATAATATCTAGACTACCCGTTCTGAATGTCTTCCATAGTCAGGCCGTGTGAAAAATTAAACAGAGTTTGGTCACCAACCTGTCTTTTTCTAACGACTCGTGGTAGCGATAAAGAAGTGTTCGTTGCCCAGGAAACACAGAAGTGGAGGTAATAAAAAGGAATGAATGTCAGACGAAGGCAGAACGGTAACCTAAAGCATGCCATCTCTTTCAAATATTTGACAGCCAAATACGCGGTCAAGGTATTGTACGTCTTCCAGGCAACATTTCATCCGAAAATCGCTCGTTTCCATCGTTCTCTCCCTTCGCCAGGAAAACAACAAGAGACCGTCTGACACGGGAAACCCTAGAAAGATGAACGAGAGAATCTCGAGGGTTGCCAAGATAGAAGTTGGGCCAAGTGTCAAATATAAAGAAAAAATACGTCGAAACGACACCCCTCGATCGTTTACACTCTCATTCCGTCCAGCAATGTAACACCATCCCCCCCACCGTGTTTCGATACCGATTCAAACACCGCAGCAACATCGAATCGACGTTGAACCTCCCACGAACCAAGGCAATATATTCGCAACGATAGCGAATATTTCGCAGCAAATAAATTCGCAACAGTTTAAAATCCATGGAATTTTCGCCAATGCGAAAAATTTCCGGTAAAATTTATCTATAAAAAATCAATCGCTGTATGATATTAGAGAATATTTTTCGTTGGTTTGTGGGAGCTTTTAAACGAAAGGTTTTCGCTATTCACGTACGAAGAAGGTTTCAGCAATAGTTCAGATAGGAGAATCGAGGGGAATACAGGAGTTTGCGAATTACTCACCGGATACTCGTCGTACTTGGTCGAATAGTCGGGATAGTCGAGGCTGGGCGAAGCGTTCCTCTTGCCGAGGGCGCGTTGCCCGATCGTGCCAGCGATGATCGGCACCATGGCCACCACCACCAACGGGATCACTCCGTTACCCATCGATCTACTTCCACGAAGAGACAATGAAAAGAATCGCAGGGTCGACGAGGTGTTACAGAATCCGTGGTCCCAAGCACCAGGTGATACCAGGTGTGCTTCCTGTGGAGGAGAGTCCTTCAACTGTCCTAGAAGTTCTTCCGTAGTGTTCACTTCGAATATCTGTACAGATCTTCGTGGCGAACGAAAGAACGTCTTCCTGTCACCCTTCCGTTCTTCTGAAACCAGAGATCCCCTCCGATGTGATGGCCGAATTGACTGCCGATCTCTAGATACGATCTCGAATAAAGGTAACACGAGGTGGTCGATTCTTTTGTGTTTCTGAGTGTGTGTGAGTGTACGGTGCTGGAGTTCAGACGGTTTTTAGAGCTGGTCGATGGACCAAGGATATCCGCCGTGACGATTATGGGTCCGTCCGGTCACACACACGTCAGGATACGGTCCAGAAAGACGAAGGACGTGGTTCGAGGACGCAATGTGACGCCTCGAGCGGCGACCGCTCTCCTATATACCGCCGCAGCTTTACGCAGGCGCTCATTCGCGAAACCGCGCGCGCTGCGACTGCTCTCACGCAGGCCGGGTATTTTCCGTCCGCGTGGATCCACGCGACAGGATCCATCGAGACGAGGATCCTAAATTTAAAATGTTTGAATTTTAATTGTTTTTTTTGTTTTTTTGACATTTTATTATTGATATCTTCAGAGTTATCAATGACATTAAACATGAAATAAAATGTCGGTTAAATGGCCACCGTTGCACTGTGGAACGGAACCAAGGAAAAACCGGATAGATGCGACATTTAGATTGAAATATCTCCTGAACTACTAACTTTCGAAGTTAGTTACTGTCACGCAACACGTTTGACATTCGACATTTTCTGACAGAGTCAGGGGACAGAAGATTGAAAATAACTTATACAAATTTTTGTATTTACGTCATTTTTTTTTAGAGGTATCAAGGTCACTTTCATTTTTTAAAATTATTTATACGTTTTTTCTTGAATAACCTTGGATGATTATAGTCATGGAATTCATAATGAAAGGGACTATCATTCTAGGTGTTTCAAAAAGGGTGATTTCATTTTAAAAAATGAAGTTGACCTTGATATCTCCAAAAAAAATGACAAACTATATATATTCTCAATTAATGATATGTTACTATGATACATAACTATTGATTAGTAGACTGCAGATGTGTATGCAAATATCGATCCTATGAATGGTTCATTTACGGAAACTAGAAATAAACAGAAATTGTTTCATTTGAATCAACAGGTCTATCAGGTCCTAGATAAAATAAAATCTCTATTACAGTAGTTTAACAAACTCTGTAATATCCTGAATTTTCAATAATCGAGTATGCTATAAACGCATACAATCCGCATTCTATTAATTACCGTTGATTCCCAATCGTCTACGCTCGAGACTCTCGCGAAAACGTAGGTCGTCGCGTTTCGGTTGCACGCAGTGCACGCTCAGCGAGGGAAACTTCCACGGCGAGCAAGATCGGGGTGTTGGCGAAAGTTCGCTGCAATTCCCGAGAGAATCTTTCTTCCACCGCGACGGGATTCGCTAATTAAAGTTGGGGGAACGTCTAACGACCAGTAATGAGATGTACCTCCCGCTGGATGACGCGAGAAGCTCGTCAGCCGTGACGAATAGATAATAATCGGCCGCCGATTACTCTGTTTCCGTCCTATGCGTAGGCTGATACGACGTTAGTTGCGTGACTTGTCGAATGTTCTTTATTGTAGCCAACGAAACTCGATGTTCTCCACTCAGTTAACGAGAATCTGAAAAATTTTGTTATATAATAATAATAAGAAGAAGAAGAAAAAATGGGAAAATACACACCACTAGCCATAGAAATAAAGGACCTCTGGAAACAAAACAAAATTAAAATAGTAGCATTAATCATATCTCCAACAGGCATAACTCCACAATCATTCACAGAAAACTTATACGAAATAAACATACATCCATCCATACACGCAAACATCCAGAAAGCAGTGATACTACTCACATGCAACGTGGTCTGGAAATTCATGAATTCACTAACATGAAAATAGTGAACCTCTATTTTACTTGGTTTTAATCCATAATATGGAGAGAGAACTCAGTGGAAAACGCTGAAGAGAAACTAAATGATAATAATAATAATAATTTACGTACGGTAACAAAATATATAGAGTTAATGGGATACATTAATTGTAGTTTATTTATTTTACTTAATAAAAACGTAATATATAAAGAATTGTGTTTGCAAGAAATTTTATTATTAAATTGGAACTCTGTTTCACAGAAAGACAACGATCACTCCGTAAAAAAAGAAGTTTTTATTTTGTTCTAAAACAATTATTATTAAAAAACGACCAATTTATTAAATATGATTTTTTTAAAGAACAATTATTATTAAATATGACCATTAAATATATGCTTACCAGGTTTGGTTCCGAAATTCACATTTTTACATCGAAATGAAGCTTCTGAACTCCTAAATCGGCGTTTTGTACCACTGTGCGTTGCGGTGCAATTTCCAATGTTGCGGTGGTCGTGACCGCGACACTCTCGTTAGGGAATAGACCGATTACAAAGTCGTGTTCGAGTTTCCGAAAGCCTCCGTTGTAACGCGATATCTTCTGATCCCCGTTTCAGATTTTCTTGTTGCCTTCCTCCCTGATCACAAAGCTCTCCTAATCCTCTCTCTTTTTATTTGCCATTTTCTTCACTGGTACCAGCAATTTCGCCTTCAATTTCGCGACATTCTACGCTTGACCAATCACATACTTACAGAGGAATATAAGCATACGTTACTATAAACGATCATCGATCAATATTATTATCTTGATTTGCATATAATTAGGTATAATTTGGCGACAGCAGGCAATACAAGGCGATAAATTGTTATATTTAGTAGGCACTTTTGTAAATAATAGGGTTAAGAGTCGATGGTTGAAAATTTCGAAATTTTAAAATTCACTAATTTCTTTACTTTCATATCGTAACAAAAGGTGCAAACGATTTGAGAAAATGTATTGTCGTAACATTTTAATCGTCGTGGTAATAGTGTATCGAAAAGTCATTTTGACTTGCTTGGTAGTTCTGGTGTTAAACGCGTCGACATGTTGGTCGCATTTTTCACGGAAAACGGACTCTTTCGCCGTCGAACGATGGAAAAAACACGTGGCTCAGCTCGAGAGGAATCGGAAATGCGGTGGTGGTTCACGGATGTGAAACGGATAGGTTTAATTACGCGTCTTCTGGCGTCACGCGCCGTCTCTTCGTAATTAACGGACTAATAACTCTGGGCTCACGGTGACACGCGACGAATGGCGAACTCCTTGGACACCTCGATCTTCCAACGGAGTGTTTGATCCTGTTCCTTAGATCCTCTTCTTCGACCTATTCCGACGGTAAATCCTCCGATTCTCGATTAGGGGAGACCGGGGCAGGTTGTAACATAATTAAAATTTTCTAAACGACAAATTTGGCAACGCAGCAGGATTTGAAAATATTGATAACGTCGGTTTCGTTGCAACAATCGATCATCAAGTGTATGTTTCGTAGTTACAGGTTAGATTTTTATTATTTGGAGCACGTAAGGAAATATTGTCCTGGGACTTTTATTTCAATTAACCGCCATTAGAAACCGTTTGAATTTTTTGCTTCTTTGTCGCAAACGAATCATTACATATTGGTTTATTATTATATGTACGCGTTTAAACATATTATTATTTACACTGCTCTGAATGGTGATAAAGCAAACTTGCTATTTGCTGAAGTATTAGCTACTTTTTGGATGAGGATAACCTTTGGATGAAGATATAAACTATTTCCTGATTGAAGAAAACACTTTAGAGAAAAAATTGTGAAAATTTTTTTCGTTACAATTTGCTCTTCGTTACTATCTCCCCTATATGTTTTTAAAGACAGCGTGCCCCATTTGAACGGGGACAACCATTTTCTTCGTTCGATTCATTAGACTAACTGAAGCCGGTCGGACGAGATTGCAACGACTCACAGAGACAATCCGTCTTGATTTCTGCAATCAAGGTATTGCCCGTTCATTTTTTTTTCCAAAACGTCGACCCCCCTCCACTTCCTGCTCGAACTCACGAAAGTAAGAAAAAGCTCGTTTATTCGCCTCGTAGGTTAAACGTGGAAACGATGAAAAGGAGGCGTTGAACGTCAAAAAGACAGAGAAGAGCCTCAAAAGGATAGGAAAAACCCTCGTTTAAATAAAACACTCGCGACGATCGGAATTGAAGTGGAGTTAACGTTCGAGGGCTTCAGAGAACGAAGGAAGAAAGGTTATGTAACATTTTCGTGAAAATTCAGTTTTCCTGGCGAACGATGGATGTACATGGTGTTCCACCGTATACTATCTTATTTCACTTTGTCCTTATCGCAGAAAATAAACGAGGTACTGTACAATTTGCAAAGAAAATATTTGTAACGTGACACCTTCAACTCCTAAAACCTTCGTTTACCTGCACTGAATATATTCCACTGTAATCTGAACCAAAGATCACAAATCTGGAATAAAATGATACAGAACAATCGAGACGATAAATCTTACCGTCTATATAAATATTACCAGATACGTCGTTTCAAATTATAAACACACTGAATTCTCTAAGAGAAGGGGAGGGACACATGGTAATCGCGTTATATCCCAGCACGAGAAAGGGGGAATTCAATTAGAAGGCAGTCGTTCCTTCCGTTAATTGACGCTCGATTCGATTCGAGGGAGAAAGATAGTTTTTCCACGCGATTTCACAGAGGGGGTTTATACATCTGTGATGAACGGCATACGGAAATAGATCGTCGAGTTTATTTAGCGATGGAAGCGATCGACCACCCCCGCAACAAATATATCCTGCGGCTGATCGGGCAATTAGTTCCCCGAATCCATTAATTAGCTAATGAGGATCGCGTGAATCGTGATTCGTTGTCAGCTTTGTAGCGGACCCCGATCGAGCCCGGCGCGGTTCTCTTCTACCT